AGGTCCTCTCTTCTAGGGTAGAACAAGCTAACTAAAGCTGAGTAGGAGGATTGTGATTGGTGTTAGGTTTCCTTGGCCGTGAGGTTTTTCCCCAGCTGCAGGCTGACTTGGTTTAGATTTGTGACATGGGCTGGCGCTCGCAGTGGACTCCATTCTGTGGGTCTTGACATATCGGACAAAAGCCTTAGAGTCATGCTTTACGCCTTTCTCTCATCCCAGGTGCATACTGTCAGGAAATCCTTTAGTGCCTCCTTTAAAACATAAAATCTAACTGCTGTTTGCTACCTCCGTTGCTACTATAATGGTCCAGGCCACTGTCCCCTCCGCCTTGTCTTCTAACCTTACAGCTTTAACTCTTGCCCCTTAGAGTGTATTTTTAACATTGCAATCAGGGAGGTTTTTAAATGTGAATCAGTCATGTCACTTCTTGCTCAGAATCTTGTAATTGTTCCTCATCTCACTTGTAATAGAAGCCAAAGTCTTTATAATGGCCTTCAAGGCCCTCTAAGGTCTAGCCTTCTGATGCTTCCCTCATGTCATCTGCTCTCTGTCTTCAGTTTACACTACCTTGAGTACATCTACTACTACCTTGAATACATCTACATGGGTTTCTACCCTATGGAGTGAGAGAGAGAGAGATTATGAGCAGGGAGGGAAGAGGCAGAGAGAGAGGGAGGGAGAGAATCCCAAGTAGGCTCTGCGCTGTCAGCACAGAGCCCGACATGGTGCTTGAACCCATGAACTGTAAGATCATGACCTGAGCTGAAACCAAGAGCAGGACACTTAACCAACTGAGTCACCCAGGGGCCCCTACTCTGGTGTTTACGAGGGCTGCTTCCTCTGCCTGAAGTAGTCTTCCCTGAGGTATCCTTCAGGACCAGCCCCCCACTGGCTTCCCCATAACCTTTCTCTGTGGGGTTTTTTTTTATGGTTTTTTTTTTTTCTGAGGGGGAGGGGGGAGAGAGAGAGAGCAAGCGAGCAAGGGAGGGTCCGAGAGAGAGGGAGACACAGAATCTGAAGCAGCTCCAGGCTCTGAGCTAGCTGTCAGCACAGAGCCCGATGCGGGGCTTGAACCTATGAACCGTGAAATCATGACCTGAGCCGAAGTCGGACGCCCAACCACTGAGCCCCCCAGGCGCCCCTTTTTAATGTGTTTTTTTGTTTTGTTTTGTTTTTGTTTTTTTCCCCTAGAGCCTTTCTCTGTTTGAGAAGAGTACCTGTGTTAGTTGGGCTGAAGGGAGAGGATAGAAGGCCTGGATGTGGCCGATGCTGAAATCCTCTTGGTGGAAGAGCCAGATAGTAGCAATTGATGAGTTCAGGCTACTTGCTATTCTGAGTAATAATGGAAGAAAGCAGAAGAGACTTTGCAGCAAATTAATAGAGTTGAGGCAGCCTTCAGTTAGCCAGTGGAAGCATTCATAAATCAGAGTTCATAATTTGAAAGTCCCTTCACATATTAATAAGGGATTCTCTTTTGCAGATAGATTTGGTGTCCTGCTGCTTAGTTATGATTTAATGAAGTGCTCTTCAGTTTAACAGAGAATAGGCCAAAGAATTGCTTGAGCACCCTTTTTTGGATTATAAAAGAATAATGGAAAACATTCAATTATTGAATTCTTTTTAAAATTCACTATTGGTGAAAATGTTTCTGAAGTTAATCCTGTATGTTTCACCAAACAGAAGAACCAAAATGTATTTCCTATTATTTTGCCATAGCTAATAGATTTCAGAATGTAACCAATATTTAATTTATCTCAAATACCTATTTATTCCAGTCCTCTGTGCCTTTTTGATTTTTTAATTATAAGATTGATACTATGTTCAATTTTTTGAATTGCTGAAATTGCTTATGGAAGTGGGCTTAGTTGACATTATAAAGTATCCTCTAATTAAGGGCATATATGATGATTCTGCATGTCATAGTCAAGGAAACTTTCAGTGATTCTTTAATATTTGTTTATTCACATGCTCCTCCCTCAGAGGGAAGAGTAGAAAAAGTGAAGCCAACCATAACGTCTGTACCCGAAGTTTATGCTGTAGAATTACAAATCTGACTCAGAGTTTCTCCATAGCCAACACTAAGAGGAAAGTTACCTACACGATTCATTGAAATCTATAAGGTAAAAACAAACTAGTTGTTAGGGGAGAAGCACAATTAATCCCAGCACAGCATTTTGCATGAATATACTTGTGGGTGCTTATAATAAGAATACTGTAATTAAAATAGATGTCTACCTGGGGCAAGACAGTACCGTAACTTTTAGGACCATCATCGTTCATGGATATATGATGCGTGCATGATCTTGCTAAGACCTCTGTCACCTCATTGATCCCCAGGACTGATTTGGTTGCTCTGGCTGGCGAGGTGGGTGTCCCCTTCTTCCCTCACCACTCTGTGTGCGTCCCTCCTCACACTTGCACTTGGTTGAAGATGATGCCCTTCACCAAAAGAGGAGGACCACTCTTTGGTCAAGGGCATACGAGCCCTACTCCTCTGCAAGAGCCTCCAGACCGGCTCTCAGGGCCCGTTTGTAGTGTAGGGAAGCCGAGCTTCCAGGATGCCAGACACGTCCCAGTGTAACAGCACTGCACGTGACTGTCTACCTTTCTCGAGATTAAAAGAGAAAAACATGGTCTATGGATGCAAAAAGCATCACTTGCTTTCACAAGATCTTATTTAATGTTAGCCAGTGGTTCTTAGCCTGTTTTGGTCATAAACCCTCCAACATTTTTATGTAGTTTTATCATGGGTTTGCTAAATATGCTGATTCTGATCCAGTAGGTCTGAGGTAAGTTTTAGAAATTTATGTGTGAAACTACCACACCAGGTGATTCTGATGTAGGAACCTCTCCTGGATTATAATTTCAGGGAGTTTGCAGATTCGGTGCAGTCTGGAACCTTATCTGATATAAGTGAGCATCACCTTCAAAAACGTGCAGTGAAAACAATCACAAGTTTCATAGGTGTGTTTGTAGATGTTTCATAGGCATATTAGAAAACTGATGGCTTTTGTGGAAATTTATTGAGGAAAGCAAGTCACGTGGCCACAGTTAACTTGCAAAGAAACAGTAATTGACTAAGCACATACAGTCTCTCTGTCTTGTTTTAATGTAATGAGTTGACTTTTTTTTTTTGGTAATGTTTGTTTTTGAGGTGGGGGGAGGGGCAAAGAGAGAGGGAGAGACTCAGAAGCAGGCTTCAGGCTCTGAGCTGTCAGCACAGAGCCGGATGCTGGGCTTGAACTCACAGACCGTGAGATCATGACCTGAGGCAAAGTCAGACTTAACTGAATAAGCCCCCCCAGGTGTCCCAATGACCCTTTTTTCTTAATATTCAACTACTTTCACATTCATGGGATAAACCATGCATGATCATGAGGTACCATTCTTTTGATTGTCGACTTATTTTGCTAATATTTATTTAAGATTTTTGCATCTACATTCTTGTTAAATTGTCTAGAGTTTCTGTTTCTTTTGCTCTTCTCACCAGTTTGGTGTCAGTATTTTGTTAGCATTAAAAAAGGAGTTGGGTGTTTTTCTCTTGTTTTTTGGTTTTTTTCTTTCAGTTTTCACAGTTCATGTAGACTTTCACTATACTTTTTGTGGGGAACTTAGGGCAACTCTGAAATTGGAAGCCTCACTCTCTGCACACAAGCCCACCCTCACTTCTGATACCAGCTACAAGTTTGGGGGTTCCCCAAACCATTCTGAGGTTCAGTAATTAATTAAACTCCTAGATCTTATTCTGGTTTATTATGCAGAAGGGATACAGATTAAGATCCACCAAAGAAAGACAAAGGGCAGAGTGTAGGAGGGTTCCAAACACAGAGCTTTCCTCCCTCCACTGTAGTCAGATTGCCTTTCTCTCTTGGCCTTAATGTGTGACAGTGTGTGTGGAGTAATGCTGGCTGTGGTGTCCTTCTCAATCAGATGGGGGTCCCCAAACGTGGGGGTGACAGTCAGGTGGGAGCCAGTGGCATGCCGTCGATTCGCCCAAGGCAGCACTGAGGAGATAGAAGCTTATTGAATTCACTGCAAGGGAGTGGCAGGCAGGAGGCAGAGGAGAGACTGTCTACTGCCAGGAGGCAGTGGGCGGGGGCTTATTTAAAGAAAGAAGGTGAGGAGGTTTGGGGACCGAATGAATTTTCCCTTTTTGGTAACTGTGCCTGGTTGTAGGTAGCCCAGTGGTCAGTTCAGGCTTATGGGTAGTTTGAGGTGAGTTACCTGATGGGTTTGTCTGTATTTGGTCAGCGGATTGCTGTGGGCCCTTTACCTAAAAGCGGCCTCTAAGCTAGCCAGGAAAGCTCACCCAACCTTTAGTGTCCAGTGTTTTTTGTTTTTGTTTTTTAATTTTTATTTTTAAGTAATCTCTACACCAAGCTTGGGGCTCAGACTCATAACCCCGAGATCCAGAATTGCAGGCTGTGCCCACTGCACCACCCAGCACCCCTCGCGTCCAGAGTTTTTATTGAGGCTTCGCTATGTAGGCCTGACTGACTGACTGCTTGTGGATCAGCTCTATCTCCATATCTGTTAACCCAAAACCACTTCCCAAACTTACACTGGTGTTTCTGGATTGGTCAGCCGCCACCCTGAGGACTCCAGGGTGTGACCAAGTCCCTCCCTGAATCACACTGGTAGATTGTCCGCTTTGTCCCAAGGTTACCAGGCAAACAAAAGCTCTCTTATCAGACATACCTTCTGAGAGCCCGGAGATTACCTACCAGAAGTCAAGGCCAAAGGCCAGGCTTTCTCTTTGGGCAAGGTGAAATTCTTTCCATTTTTTACAGTTAATTTTCTTTTTTGTCGCATCTTCCTGTGATTCCCTGAAACCAGATTAAGTTTCTAGGGGTTCCATTATAGAAAACCGATTCTTTGACATTTCCAGCCTTGTGTTTCTCTTGCTAACTCCTAAAAGACAACAATAATGGACACTTCTGATTTAACTGCATTTAAATTAAACTACTCTCTTATCTTTTTGTCTTTTTTTTTTTTTTAAGAATAAAGGTTCACTTCAATTTGAAGACAAATGGGATTTCATGCGTCCAATTGTTTTGAAGCTTTTACGCCAGGAATCTGTTACAAAACAGCAGTGGTTTGATCTGTTTTCGTAAGTAATCCATTAACTCTAACTTTTTGCTGACGTAAAGGAAATTTTGGTGATGCATTTCTGTATCCAAACGGAATGCTGACTCTAGACTGGACTGTTTACTCATTTACAATTAATACTCACCCAAGCCCTCTTCTATGTTAAGTGATCTGCCAGGAGGGGTCAGGCATATTCAGAGCTGTGGTTTATTACTGCAAAAGGATACAAAGCAAATCAGCACAAGGAAAGGCACAGGGGTGGGGTGGGGGCGTGGGGGGAAAAGTCTAGGGAACACTGGGCGCAGGCTTCGAGGAGTACTTGTGGAATCACACGGGACACACTTAAGTTCTCCAACAACACGATTGACACCAGGTGTGATATGTTGTCTAATTGAGAAGCTCTTGGAGGCCCTGTACTGAGAGTTTTTATTAGGGGCTGGTCACACAGGTAGCCTCTGCTTGACACGTACCCAGACTCCAGGTGCTCAGAGAGAGCAGGTGTTCAGTGTAAACATTGGAGTTTGTACAGAGTTTGTACATTTAAGGCACAGGGATCTGTTCCTATCATTAGGAAAATTTCATAGCAGTGTAGAAAACTGGTGACCATTTAAATTCACTCTTGGCTTTTGGCTGAAATGTCTTAACAGCAAAACTATTACCAGTGGGGCACCACAGGGCAAGGCAAGACCAGCCTGTAGTGCTGATTGCACTTATGCCTTTTAGAAGTCCTAGATTTAATGAGTGAATACAAATCCCATCAACCATGAAGCTTATTTTAGGAAACTGTGGTTTTCTCCTTAGGTTTCTAAATGAGCCTTTTTTTTTTTTTTTTTTTTTTTTTTTACACGTGGCCTGAGCCCCACACACCTCTGGCCTATAAGTGGAAGCACACCTGAAAGCTGTCCAGGGTTGAAGCAGTGTCATGATCGTCAGAATACATCCCCAAAGAAGTGCCGTCTCAGAGGGCATGTGTGGTGCCCCAGATACAAAGAGTTTACAGTTGTTAGGGGACTCCAAGCAAGACATACGTTAGTCAGGTCGTATGTGATCACCAGCCCTCAGTTTCCCTCCTCCCAGAGGACCTTTGGCTCTAGAGTTCTCAATCCATTTCTGTTAATTCAGTTCAGGCCTTGTCTTCAGATGAGCTGCCTGAAGGAAGTTAGTTCCAGATAGTTTTGTTTATTCATGACACCAATTGATGTGCCTCAGTAGTGTGGTTGGTGTTTAGATGTGTTCTGTGTGGAGTGTGTAGGAGTTGGGCTGCTCCCTGCTGTCCCCCAGTGCTGTGAGGTTTGACTTCAGGTGCTCACAGCAGCGTGGAAAGCCAATGCCAGGAATTTTAAGAGTAGTTAGGAAAATAGGAATCATTAATGTCTACCTCCTCCCCTGTGCTGGGTTTCGTTTTCTCTCTTGTAAAATCAATATGTCTCATTCAGTATTGAAAACTCCCCCCCCAAGTCATGTGGATTTGCAAGAACAGTAAAATTTGTGTATTTTCTGCATTTTTACAGAGAAGCAGTTTTTACACATCTTAACTAGAAAGACGTGTCATTTTTAGGTGTTGGTCTGGATGAAATTTCAAATTTTCAGAAATTTTTAAAGTTTACGTCACCTCCCATGCCTTTTGTCCCAATCATGTATCCAGCGAGCAGCCGAGGAAAGACCACTTCGCTCCTGGAGACCGCTGCATTTAGCAACCAGGTTACCTCATTAAGGTGTATGTGCAAGGAGGTGGGGTGGAGGTGAGGGAAACAGAATCAGGTTTTTATTCATCCATTGTGGAAAACAAATCCAGAAAACTGATCAATCACAGTGACCTCACAGGGTTAGGCGTCCATTCTGTAAGGGGCTGGTCATCATGCTCCCACTTGCAGCTTTTGGCAGTGACCACAAGTTAGGAATGTAGTTAGTCTCTGTATCACATGTATAGAGTCAGTCAAGAGCTTGACTTCAGCCGGGTCCATCAGAGAGTAAGCCCTTTTCTACAGGCATCTGCAAGTGATTCAGGTAGCCCATCCAGAATCCACGGTGCTTCCAGTTTATGGTTCCACAGAGGGGGGTCTTAAATCTGCAGCAGTCCTCACGTCAGAGCCCTGCTTGCTGTTCATGCACTGGATCTTCATTTCTGATTCATTATAGTAAAGGATCCAGCTATGGTGAGGTTGAAACAGCCAGGAACAGGCAGTAGCAGGCTTCAGCTCAGAGATCAGGCAATTAAAGTCTGTGAATTCAGGACTAAAAAAGAGAGCAAGTTTTCTTCTGCAGCAGGAAGTCAAGATGCTGCAGACAGTCATGATCCAAGTCCAAGGGACAAGCAAGACTTTTCTAAGCCTTTTTTACTTAACAGTCTTAGAGTCCAAATTGGCCCACTCAAAAATAGGCACATCAGGCTGGAAAATCATCGGCCTCTAAGGATCAGACATCTCCTTCAACCAGAGCCCAGTGTCCACTAAAAATTGCTTTTTAAAACTCGAAAATTGTATTTCTATATAAAGATTTCCTTTGTTTTTATGTTGTCTTCTCAGACATACCGATAGGTAGAGATAATAGATGATCACCTGTTACAGAGACTTTTATTCTGTTGCTAGTATTCAAATACTTTAAATGCCAATCACCTTACCAACAGCTGAAAGCAAGGAAATTATGTCCGCTAACTTTTTGGGGGCACTTTCCTGATAGGTATAGCCCAACTAGCATTTATGAAAGTACAGGCATATAGCATTTTGCATCTTTTTTGATCATACATCCAGATGTAATAGCCACGAAATACAAAGCCATCTTTTTAACCTCCTCCCCTGACCCTTTCTTTGCATTATAGTTGTTCAAAGCCCTAGCAGTAACTTCAGCCTTTACAGTATTAACATTACAGTTGCTGGGAGATCCTGGCTAGAGTGCAAGGGGCCTTGAATGATTCCTTCAGGAGTGCTGTTGGTCCGAAGAAACAACTGGAGTGATTTCCTCTCCCTGCAAGCACCCCACCACCACCATTTTCTCCCCTGGCTTATCTAAAGCTTTCTCCAGCCCTGGTGTCTGATTTAATTTCTTTATGGCCGCAGGAGAAACCAGCATCAACATTTGACATTTTTGGTTCACCCAAAACTTAACTCTGGGCCTTTTCTCTTCCCACGTGGAGGCAGGAACAGAAACCACAGGTGTCACCCAAGCTGTGCTGTTTCTCCTCCTACTTTAGTCAGCATGGCCAAAGGCAGCCAGGGGATTGAGTGAGCCAACTCTGCTGGGGTTAGATCTGTCATTTTCAAATTTCCTAGGTAACTCTTTTCTCTTCAAACAGATAGCAACTCAGCCGCTGTTTCATACCATGGATGATTTCATAGCCCCCCAAACGGCAAAACTGCATCATCCCACCACTTCTTCCTTTTACTGGACAGCGCTCTCACCGTATTTCAGTGAGTCACAGTGGTGCTAGTGAATCCCACTTCTGACACCAGTTGTGTCAGCAGTCTCAAGACCACCTTGAGGTTCAGTGATTGCTTGGAGTACTCCGAGAACTCAGCATATAGTCCTCCTCATGGCTCTGATTCATTATAGTAAAGAGTACAAAGCAAAATGCAACAAAGGTGTGGGTGGCAAGTCCAGGGGAAACCACGTACATGTTTCCAAGCATCCTCTCCCATGCAGTTACACAGGAGACACTTAATTCCCCAACAACTAATTGTGACACCACATGTGAAATTCTGTCCACTAGGGAAGCTCATTAAGGACTCAGTGCCCAGGGTTTTTACTGGTCACAATAGCCTCTGTCTGACATGACCTAAAATTCCAGACTCCTAGTTGAAAACCAAGTGTTCATCATAAATCAGATTGTTTATTGAAACATTAAGGCACAGTGAGCCATTCTTATTGGGAAACATTGAGAACCTTTGCAAAATCCAAGTTACCAGATAGCAGCCAAGCACCATCCTTGCTAAGGATAGGTCTCAGACCTGCTATAATTATTTTTGCATATGGTCTAGTGAAATACTTTACTAGTGAGTTGTAGGTATGTGACTGAGTAACCCATACACGTTAATCTGTTGTGCTCATTTTTTCTCTTTATCACATAAGAAGGAATCTAATTTCCCTACATAATGTAGAACTCGTTGCATAATATTAACATACATGCATGATTCTGCCTTTCGAAAAATTAGAGTTCAGTAAATAACAGCTAAGCCCTTTTAAGAATTCATAGCATTCATATATACATATATTTTTCTTAAATTATTTGGTTAAACTGTTTTATGAATAAATGGTTGAATGTGGTGGGGCTTTTTTGGTTTTGTTTTGTTATTGCCAATTTGTGATGATAATATCATATATCATGTACAATAATGCTTGTTTTCTGTGCACTCCTGACCAAGAGAGGGAGCATAGTGTGCTGGAGTTCCTGCTTCAAGTCTGTACCTAGGCAGAAATGGTCAGCACCTTTGTATGTGCCCTAGTTAGTGGTCTCATCACATCATTTCTGTAAAAACCCTTGATCCCCTTGGAGTTACCTAAGGCAGCTCCATATGTAGTTCTTTTAGGTTAAAGGATTCTTGTATATCTTAACATGCTATCACCAAAATTGCAAGACCTACGTTAATGAAACCTTTTCAAGTTTTAGCCTATCTGATCACATGAATTAATAACATTTAGGTTGCTTATATCATTCTAAACTGGAGGCACTAAGATATTGTATTATTATTAAAGTACATTGACTATTTGTTCCATTTTTTCTCATACATCCTTGTTTCTTAGTACGAGTGCTGTTGGCATTTTAAGTGGTTAAATAACACTGTGCTGCGTATTGCAGGATGTTTATCACCTCCAGCCTTCACCTTCATCACCTCTAGTAGCAGACGCTCCCTGTGTGTTCCCTTCTCACTCATTAGTGAAACCAAAGAAAAGCTCTCAGACTTTTCCCCAGGAGCCTCTGTGGGGACGGTGCCCTTAAGAACTGCTGCTCTAGATACATATTTGATTTGACTCTGGTTTGTGAAATTGATGCCAGAATTAATTAATAAATTATTTTGAACTTGTGGT